AGAGTAGGTCAGTTCCTGCCGTCTCTCGACCATTGCCAGCAGTCTTTTGCGGGGGTATCTTTGTGGATCTCCGTGGGCCTCCCTAGCTCTCTGCTTCTGACTTCTTGACCATGTACCATAATCACTAAAGGAGTTCTGAGCAAGGACAGGAGAAAACCAATAGAAATCTAAATGGACCTAACCTCACAGCTGAGCGGCCTGCACCCATAGTTAAGAATAGCAACATTTCGAGCTCCAAAGACAGACACTTCCTTTGATGTGGATCAACAAAATGTGCAAATTGTTATCTTTTTCTAAGGTAAAGTATGCTTTCTATCTCTCTTATAATTCATGATGGAGATTCTTATTCACCAGTTCTACCTATATTCCAATATGAATCCACTTCTATGTCATTCCAGTGTCATTTTTTTTTTCGGTATTATAGTTCATTTCTGCAGTGTGACTCAAAAGCTTCCCATGTGAAATAAATATTTGGTTCCCAGCTTGTGGCTCCAATATTGAATGTGAATGGATCATGAGTGCTCTGATTCAATTACTAGTTTTATCCATTGCTGTGTCATAATTAGATGCATTATTGGGAGCTTGTGGAAAGTAAGAAGTTAGTGCTAACTGAGAAACTAGGGGAATGCTTCTAAAGACTGTGTCGAGTCCCTGGCTTCCTCTTACCTCCCTTGGCTTCTCAGCTGCCATGAGGTAAGCATCTTTCCCCTCTCATGACCTTCTGCCATGATATTCAACCTCAGACTGGCATAGCTGTGTTTCTAGACACAACCACATTATGCAAGTTTGGACACATTAATTCTCAAGTACATATCTTTAAGGTATTTGGAGATCTCCAGCAGTTTTTTTTTGTAGTCTGTAACACACTTGCTCCCTGCTATTGTTGCTCAATAAGTTTCTTAACATAACACTGATGAGATTAGTCTACTTATTCTTTAGACAGGCACACAAATGATTGCCCTCTAAAAACACTAAGTTCTATTAATCGATATGTGATGAAAAGACTGGAGAGCAGCACATGCTAACACAACATTACATCCAACATTAGAATGCAGAGAGGGTACCTGGTCTCCACAGTTGGGAAAGCAGATGAGGGGTCTTCTGAGGGAGATGTGGCCCCAGAAACATGGACAACAAATATCACATTTTCATTCCTATGTGGATACTAAATATGTTGTGTGTTAAGTTTGTAGGTGCACATATATGTGTGTATGTATATGTATCTCTTTATGCATGCATGATCTTATATATGCATGTTTGTGTGTATTTGTGTATGTGGATATGTGTGTGGTATTTGTGTACAAATGTGTGTATGTACTTATGTATATAGGCATGTCTCTGATAAAAATACAGCACATTACATGGATAATGTAAAAATATGTAACAGCAGGAAAGGGAAGGAGAAATGATGAAGATCAGTGGATATGGTCAAAATATATAATATACTTGAAAGACACTGCTTTTATGGTGTTTGTATGCAATGAATATACATTAATAAAGAAAATTAATGTGAAGCAAGATTGCTCAGAGAGCAAAGACTCTTGCCACAAAGCTTTATGTCAGACCTGAGATTTATCCCCAGAACACATATTACAAAAAGAAAGACTCATGTCAAAGTTGTCCACTGACTGCACTTGTGCACCTACACACATATAAACATGCATGATTGCATGCACAAAAAATGTAATTAACTAAAATGTAATTTAAAATTAAAAGAATTTATAAAAATGGAAAGAAAAAACTTGAGAAATATTCAGCAGTAAAGAAGTAGAAAGTCCTCTAGAAGCTAAAAAGAAAGAAACTTTCCTAGAGCAGCAAGCTGAAGTGATGTTTGCCTACATCATCACTTCAGCCAATAGAGTCATATGTTGAACACCAGAACTCGAGAACCATAAAAATACAAATCTCTAATATTGAAGCAACAGAATTTATGGTAATATATTACAGAAGGACACAAAGATAATACTGGGTTCTTTCCTGCATTTCCGTATATACGTTTTTCATTTCGAAAGACATAAGAGACATTGAACTCATTATGTTTTACTTGGCTCAGCAAACTTTCATATCAGGGATTCAGGCTCACTGGCTCTCAGGCAGAAGGGGGAAGTGCACAGGTCCAGGGCTGTGTGTGGTGCAGGCAGCTGCTGAGACTTTGAGGGGAGGTTTTGGTTGGAGGCTGACACACTGTGGGAGGTTTACTGTATTGTTGCTGACAGAAGTAATCTGCCAGATCTTCAGGCTGGACACTGCTGATGGTGAGAGTGTAATCTGTCTCAGATCCACTGCCTATGAAGCGATCAGGGACTCCAGTGTACCGAGTGGATGCCAAGTAGATCAGCAGTTTAGGAGCCTGCCCTGGTTTCTGCTGGTACCAATTCAAGTAGTTCTTGCTGTTTTTGCCAAACAGACTCTGACTGGACTTGCAGCTGATGGTGACCTTCTCTCCTGCTGACACAGCCAGGGAGGATGGAGACTGGGTCATCACGATGTCACCACAGATACCTGTGATCATGAAATGACAATGAACATGCACAGAAACACAAATACACATTATGACAGTTAAAATGTCATTTAATGTCTTTATAATGTCATATTGTCAAAGTATTATTATGTAAGAAATATTATGCCCTGACTCTGAAATATCTATAATATTTTTTAATTTCTCACCAGACACCCAGAGCAGCAGGGACATGAGAACTTGAGTTTGTGACTCCATCTTGCTACCCCTGCTGTATGATGCAGTTCTCATGGGAAAGCCCTTGGTATAAATTCTGAGCAGCTGGGCTGGGCTGGAAGGGCTCATGCAAAGCAGTCAGCAAATACAAAAGCAAATGCCTAGGGAGTTTGTGTGAGAGCAGGTGGTGTCAATCAACAGGCAAAAATATCATCAATGTGAGCATGAGCAATCACTGAAAGGGATCCATTTACAGCATTTCCAAGCAAAATCTACTAGGTGCTCTAATAACAGCTGTGGGTTAAAATTCAAGACATATTTAAATCAGGAATGTGAGGAGTGCTATCTCAGATTGTCAGTCCTAGGGAAATCATAAGATATGCTCTCAAAAATTGCAACAACAAATTAGGAAACAGAGTAAGAAGACATGCAATAAAAGAAGGGAGAGAGATAGGGGAGGAGGGACATTGGGTCAAAATTTGTTTTCACCCATCCTCAAAGCCACTCTTACATTGAGGACAATGAACAATGTCTCAGACATTTGGCCTCCAGTTTCAGGATAAATATAGGACAGAGATGCAAAGAAAAAGGCAGAATTCACTCTGTGGAAATCATGGGGGTCATGAATTTAAGCCTGGGATCAGAGAAGCTTTAATCTTGAAGCAAAGATAAACCCAGCAGAAACTAGCAAGTATCATCCCCCACCACTTTGGTAACTGAAAGAGCCTCTAAATTTTGGGAGATGGAAAGGAAATACAACAAACCAAATGTATCCTAGGACTGGGAAACAAGTAGTGGAAATAAAAATTGTGTCATCTCCTTAAAAAACAGAAACCAAATTTCTCCAAGAAGTCATGGCTGCAGACAAACACTGCCAAAAGTGTTTATTCCAGAAATGCATATTCTATGGTAATTTAGAAATTAGCTATATTGAAATGAGTCAAGGTGTTCGTGCTGACATAGTGAACAGATAAAAACTTTGCCAGAAGGGGGCATAGCCATCCCAAATCAAGCAATAATTTTAGAAAGACCTATAGACCACAACATCATAGATATTTTTGCCATCCATAGGAAAAATATTTGTGTGTGGATGAAAATCAATAGCAATAACAGAAATCAAAGAACCTTCCAAGATTCAGAGTACTGAATTATGAAAGTATATATATAAGATGTACATTATAGACCCAGTATTCTGTGTAAAGTACAAGAAACAAAAATAAATAAAATATCATGATAAAGAGTTGAGATTCACATCTGTAATCCCAGAACTGGGGAAACAGTAGCAAGAAGACCATAAGATTAAAGCTAGCCTGGGTTACATAGCAAGTTCTAGGTAAGTCTCTGTGATTTCCTGTTTCCATCAATTCTGTAGTGTCTGGAAGACAGTGTTTCCTTGATGTCATCCATCCCTCTGACTATCACAATCTTTCCCTCTCTTCTTCCACAGGGATCCCTGAGCCCTCAAGGAGGACTTTGATGAAGACATTCCCTTTAGGGCTGAATGTTCCAAGGTCTCCCACTCTCTGTACGTTGTCTACTTGTGATTCTCTGTATTAGTTCCTATCTACTGCAGCAAGAAGCTTCTCTGATGGAAGCTAAGCAGGACACTGACCTATGGGTATAACAGAATGTCAATAGGTCATTTCATTGCTGTGTTCCTTTAGCAGAAATAATATCTAGATTTCCACTGGGCCCATGACCTATCTAGTCTCAGGTTCTTGACCACCAGAGCAGTATCAGGCATGGGTTGTACCTCATGGAGTAAACATTGAATCCAACTACATGCAAGTGGGCTACTTCCACAACCATTCTAGATCACAGGGATTATGACTGGGTTGGTGGTCATCTCTCTCCTGTGGTAGAATGCAAATTGTCTTTCAGCACCATGGACATTAGTCAGTAGGGGGTGAAAGCTCTAGTTGGGCACCAGCTCAATTTCTCCATGTTCAATGAGCTATATAAGGAATGAAAGAGAGGAGTAAGGGGAAGAATACAGGAAGGGACAGCTAACACTAAGAGCCATTTGAGAGATCATATGGAAACCTACTTCAGTAGAGGCTTCCTAACATGTAAACATATGAGTGAAATCAGCAAATAACGAAGGTTTGTCAAACCACAACTAGACATCTTTCACCACCACGTGAAACCTCCAGTGTCAGGAATGGTTTACATCTTAAAAAGTTGTTGCTCAGAGGGTCCCCATGGAAACCCCAAACAACTCTGACTATTGGTTTCTCTCCACAGACTGATGACAAAGACCTATTGCTCAAGAGACTCATTTCTTTTTAATGACAGGCTGAGGGAGAGTCATGGAGTTGCCTGTGGAAAGTGCACACACACACACACACACACACACACACACACACAAACACACACACCTGTAACCTTGGGTTTCTGGTGCTGTCGTAAGGGGGCAGGGATGTATATACTGTGTATTCCCCACAGATCTCAGACATTCACCATGGGATTATGTAGGCTGGTTCAAGAAACATGGATTTTATGTCTATTGTTTTTCCTTCAAATATAAAAGATATTTATATCACTTGCCTCAGCCCAGGGCCTCATTACTTTTGTCTGGCTCTTTTCACCTTATTCGCAATGATATTTGAATATTGTTCTCTGAGTCTTCTTTGCAAGTGTCAAATAGAAGCTCACCTGCAACCTTGCTTTAACTTGTCTGGAATCCTTAGTTCAGCTTCTCAAATGAGGTTCTCTACTCACTTCCTGGGGCTGCTGATGCTCTGGATTCCTAGCAAGGATGGAGAAAAGAAATAAAGTGAATGGGAATGCACTGTTATCTATGGGATGCTGCTGACATCCATATGTGTTCAGTTTACATATAACAAATGCTGGACCTATGATGTTTATACCTGTGATCTTGAGAAAGACTTGACAAGAAGGACCTGTGCTCTGATGAAGATTGCCACATAGAAGGA